GATTCCCAGCTCAGTAGTACTTAGCGGTGACAGCAGTAAAAGGACTTACAGGGAGGTATGAGCCTGCCCCTCTTGTAGAAGTTTAGCAGAGGTGCCAAAAAGCAGCAACGAAGTCCTTCCCACCATTCACTGGGTCGCCATTCAACATACGAACTCCTGTACTCACAAAACTCACGTCTCCACATTCTAAGTCTTCCGATCTAATGTGACACTGTACCGCAGTGGGTTTGCCCTGTCCCCACCCCAGTCTGTCCATGGCAGCTTTATACCTGTCCATTATCTCTGTAAGTTTGTGGCTGCAGTGACGACACAATGCAGACTTTATCCATGGGTTACGGTTCGGTGGCTAACACATGAAAGCTCTGAGTGACACCAGAGGAACATTGTAGAGCTTTTCAGAATTCCTATAGTGGCTACAAAACACTCAGATTACCCTCTCCAAGTTTCAGGCTCTAAGACATTCCTCTAAATGTAGTTCCCTCTCTGTTATAACCTATTTGGTTATTATTGCTTACTTCCATATAATTCTTATGGGCTACACTGCTAAGAGTGTGGTGATGATGGGATTGTGAATGAGAAGTTGCAAAGACCCAAAGGCAAAGGTCCCAGTGCTGCTAGCTCATTCTAGGCTGACATAGAAAATTGAGCAGCTCAGGCCAGATGCAAGAACGTTCCTGTACTTCTCACTCTTAACCTTGCTAAACATGCCTTCCTTCCACCCACATATTGCCCACTTTCTCATGGTTGTGACAAAATGCATGACAAGAGCAACTTAAATAAGAAAGGATTTGTATTGATTTGGGATTTCAGAGCCAAACACTTAGGCATGCATTTGGGCAGAACACTGTGGCTCATGGAGGAAGAGGCCATCAATGCCACAGCAGTCAAGAAGGGGTCAGCAAAGAAGGAAATGGAGACTGAATTTAGTCTTGTACACCATGCCTGCAAAGACCTACTTCCTACAAATATTTCCTAATGTTTCCAGAAGAAAAGCACCCGCAGCTGCGGGTCAAGCAGGCAACACTGGAACCTGCAGGAGATATTTCACACTCAAGTGATAAACTGTCTCAACTTTGCTGCTATCTTTAGCTCCCAGTTTTATTCCTCTTTTATGTCTTTTTGTCCCTTCAGGACAGAGAATTGAGCCTATGGCCTTGTGCATGCAGGGAAGCATTCTCTCTACCACAGGGCTACTGTCGCAGCCCATTCATCTCTATTTTAAGTGCAGGCAGAAACAGAGGGAATAATGAAAGCTGTCGTGTGCTGACAGAAACTCCTACAAGTTCATACTCCAGGTTACCCATGCCTTTCTCACAGTTAGATGGGCCTGTGGCTGTCTGTCTTACCTGGTCAGATGGCAGACCCTCCATGTCCAATACATCATGGCTTTGAAGGTGGGGTTATCTATCTGCTGGCAGAAGTCTGGGGAAGAGGGCAAGAGTTTGAGATTTGGAACATGTAAGCTGTCAGGTCCTTGAAGAACATTGTCCCTTCCTGTTACAATGGAGAGATTACTGTTCAGGGAAAGGAAGAGTAATGATTATCTGAGACAATTTCAAGACATCTAGGATGTCAAGTTTTAAAAGTCTTTTGCCATTTTGGACAAGTAAGGGGTTGGGAGGATTGCTCAGTGGATAGAACGCTTCCCAGGACCCATGGAGAGCAAACAGCAGTAATGCCAGTACCTTCCATGAGACAGGAGTCAAAGATGTGAGAGTTTCTGGAAGCTCACAGGCTAGAGAGTGTGGACTACACAGCATAGGGGCAAACAAGGACTCCCTGTCGCAAACACAGTAGAGGACATGCAACGACAGCTGAGGTTGTCCTTGACCTCCACGTGTATACCATGTCCTCTGACCTCCACGTGTTATTGTGTCCTCTGACCTCCACATGTTACCGTGTCTTTGACCTCACGTGTATACCATGTCCTCTGACCTCCACATGTTACCATGTCCTCTGACCTCCACGTGTTACCGTGTGCTCTGACCTCCACGTGTTATTGTGTCCTCTGACCTCCACATGTTACCGTGTCTTTGACCTCACGTGTATACCATGTCCTCTGACCTCCACGTGTTACCATGTCCTCTGACCTCCACGTGTTACCGTGTCTTTTACCTCACGTGTATACCATGTCCTCTGACCTCCACGTGTTACCGTGTCCTCTGACCTACACGTGTTACCATGTGCTCTGACCTCCACGTGTTACCATGTCCTTGACCTCCACATGTTACCGTGTCCTCTGACCTCCACGTGTTACCATGTGCTCTGACCTCCACGTGTTACCGTGTCCTTGACCTCATGTGTTACCATGTGCTCTGACCTCCACGTGTTACCATGTCCTTGACCTCCACATGTTATCGTGTCCTCTGACCTCCACGTGTATACTGTGTCCTCTGACCTCCACGTGTTACCATGTGCTCTGACCTCCATATGTTACCGTGTCCTCTGACCTCCACGTGTATACCGTGTCCCCTGACCTTCACGTGTATAGCGTGTGCTCTGACTTCCATGTGTATACCATGACACATGCATATCCCCACCCAAGAAATGGAACAACTATTTTTGTGTTATTTGTCTAAAGATGGCTTAACAATGAAATCACTTGTGTAAGAAACTCCCTTTTGGGCATATGTACCCACTAGCTTGTCTCCTTATCATCATCTACATTTCATTCAGAGAAACAACGCACTACACACATCTTGAGGTGTCTTGCCAGCTCCCCTTTCTCAGCTTTCTAATCCTTGTCTACTTCTTTTCTAATTATCAGCATCCTAAGCTGCAGATTGAGTTATGCTCTTCTGATGCAAGATAGCCAAAATATTACTTTTTAAACAATAATCAACAAAACTAATGAGATAGTTCACATTTTTCTATGCCAAGTGTTCCCAAATGAATGCCTATTTCACATTGATAGCATATCTCAGAATAGCCACATCCAGTTGCTTATTGTTCATGTGCAGTTATTGTAGCTGCCAGCACAGCTCCAGCCAGATGTAAAAGGGAGGCCTAGCAACTAAGAAAAGCCCCCTGCTGTATGGGCAGCTTCTCCTGGGCTGGGGGGCATATGACTTACACAGAGACAATGAACCAAGGAATTCTTTAAACTGTAACACCTTTTCACTATTCCTTCAAAAATACACATTATTTTTTAATTTTTAATCTGTCTGCTGTGTGAATCTGTCATGTGTGTGCCAGTGCCCATGGAAGCCAGAAGAGGGTGTCAGATCCCCTAGGAGCTGCAGTTGCAGGAGGTTTTCGACCTCCAGATACAGAGGCAGATGAGTAGCATGTGCTTGGGACCACTGAGTGTCTCTCCAGCTCCTTTTGTTGCTCTTTAACTTAAAAGAGACAAACAAATCATCTCTCCCTTCAATACTAGCATTAGGGTTTCAAAATGAGAACTAAAGTTTCCCCAATATTGCTAAAATTTAGTAATTTGCCAGTTATTATTATTTGTAAGATTAGAGCATGGCCTGGTGTCTCCTTATCAGTTTTGTGACACCCCCCATCCCCCCTTCCCCCCTCCCGCACCAAGGATGCTGCACATTGCGTCTTAGGTGCTCAATCTTCCACCAGAGATCCTTTGGGATAAAGCTAATAGCCAAGAAGTTTTACTCACTAATGAATCTGTGTGAGGTGATTCTTTGCCTGAACGCAGATCACACACACACACAGAGAGAGAGAGAGAGAGAGAGAGAGAGAGAGAGAGAGAGAGAGAGAGAGAGAGAGAGAGAGAGAGAAAGAGAGAGAGAGAGAGAGAGAGAGAAGAGAGAAGAGCAGGTATGGCTTAACAGCAGTAGTAGGTGTGTGTGTGTGTGTGTGTGTGTGTGTGTGTGTGTGTGTGTGTGTGTGTGTGTAGTTAAGAGTCTCACTCTACATGTCCAACTGGCCTAGAACTCATAACAATCCTACCTTAGCCCTCTGGCTTGTATAGGAAGTCTGTTTATCCATAACTGACAATAGTATATCAGGACTTGTCTTTTACTGGGGATGGAGACATCTATAGACTTTCAGCTATGTTATATCAACCACTGAAGCTGTGGACTGAGATGTCATTGGCTCCATTAGCCCTAAACTGATGTCCAAGCCCTTGACATCTCTTACTACGTATATCTATGTCTGCATTTTCCATAGCTCAGAGAAATTTGATGATGAAAATTTCAAGTAAAGAGTAGTAAAGAGTATGGCACTTCTGAGGTCTAATAAGATGGAGTTTACTTACAGAAGCCACATTTTTGGATGGATAGTGAGATTGATTTTTTAGGACTCTTGGGCCCAGTGATCCATCCTTCATCCCCTTTCCCTCCTTCAGTTCTTGGTGCTTAGCTCAGTGATTCACCAAGGATCATAATACTGGATAAACTTTGATGTCCTAGAGGATGCACAATTTTATTTTAAAATGCTGGTCAGTCTTCAGCATAAAAGAACTAAATCTCTGATGGATCCCATGCAACCAATTCCCTACGTGGGCTCAAATTGATATTCTTGGGAACCCTGAAGCTTGGACTGGGAAGTTAGTCTTCCTACATTAACATCTCCCCCAAAAGGAGCAATGGCAAAATTAGTTGTTTTTCAGACATGTAAACATCTAATTTCAAGCATATTTTTCTTTATTGCGATCATTCCTCTTATGAATGATTCTTCAGGAAAAGGAAAAGATGAAGCCTGGTGTGGCTGTTGTTGGGATTTGTCTTTCAAGGTCAGCTCATTCCCACAGTTAATTGAAAGATAAATGCTTATAAAAAATAAAATTAAGAGTTGGCAAGGTCTGACTCTGGTCCCTCTCCAGAGATTTCCAAGTTCTTCTTTCATGAGTCCCTGAATCTTTGCCTTCACAGGATCTAGATTCTGTTCTCAGTGTGTCTGACCAGATGACGTAACATCTGGGCTGCCTCTGGAGAACGTGCAAAATGAAGCACTTTCATCCTTCCGCTCCAAGCCCTGGGAACTCAGTGAAAATGACTTTCCTCTTTTGTTTGTTTGCTCTTTGTTTGCTTTAGTGTCCAACTCAGTGGAAGTGCTCTGTGGCGGTCTCCCACCTGTGGAAGAAGGTGACAGGAAGATTAGCCTGATTATGGAGCTGTCCACCCAGGTTTCCGTGCAAACTGAGAAGATCACACAGCTCGAAGAAGTTTTAGAAGAAAAGGAACGGAAGATTGAGGAACTGGTCGCTAAGCACAGTTACCGGCTGTCCCAAAAGGAAACAAACCTTAAAGAAGACTTAAAAGACCTCCCGGTTGAATGTGATGATAGGAGCGTTCCTGTGGCCTCTAATGAGTTGTAGATTTCCCATATGGCAATAATTAAAGTTTAGTGTCATCAAGGTGGAGTCAAAAGCCTAAATAACCAGTCAAGTTCAAGTTTGCAGTATGAGTATCACCTACAGAGTTTGTGCTAAAAGAAACACAGGAAGGGGAACACTCAGAACTGAGCCTGAAAGTGTCTGCCACTCCACAGTGGTCACGTAGCCACACAGCAGTAGAGTGCTGTGTCTTTCGACACTCCTGGCTAACAGTGGGTGGGGAGGAACACAAAACCATGCAGCTGGAGAGATGGCTCAGCCCTATTCTCTGACTAGAAGTTTGCCACACTTCGAAGGAAGGGTGCGAAGCAGCCCTTTGTGTAGCGCTGTTGGGAAATGAGAGCTGTGTTGGAGGGCCAGCTTCAAGTTGGGGAAGGTTAGAGCCCAGAGGAGCAAAATCATTGCCCTGAGAGTAAATAGCCACGAGGTCTGTCCTTTCATGTCCTCTCAAGTTTATTTCTTTATGGCATGAATTTTACAAGCATTAGCAAGGGTAGAAACAAAATAATGCTGAAGTGATTTTAAAAAATGAATCAGAGCTGTGGTCCTTTGGGAAAAGGTTCTGGACAGTATCTCTCTGGGAAAAGACACAACACTGATATTTTTCCCCCTTAGGAGAAGGACTTAAGATGAGAAATACACACTTCTGTGAAGATGATCACACGGCTGTGCGCTCTGTACAATAATGGCAGAGAAAACAGCAGCATTGGCAAAGGGGGGCAACATGTATTTAATGGGCCGCAAGGAATCCTGTCATGCCCCTCTCCCACCCTTCCCCCTCAAATGACCCACGTCCTACGGGAAGGGTACTAACAAGAAGCTTTCAGAACTTAACTCTCCCAGTGAACCTCATGACAAGCAGTATTGACAGGCGCCCGAGTGTGGCTACATTGCTGAAAGTCAAAGCAGTCCGTCCAGTTTAACAAACAGCATCAGTATTCTATCCTCCAAGCACAGCACTAGAAGGCAGAAACAGCGCAAGCCCAAGCCTTTTACAGGCAAGGTGTCCGGAGACACAGAAGAGTCTCCTTAAATATAGATGGGGGCAGAGAGCACATGAGTGTGTCTGGGGACAGGGAGCCTGCCTGCTTGCTGTAAAGGAGGCCCTCACAGTTACTGAGTGGTTGGTGGGAATGCACCTGGCCTCTGGTGTTGTACCTGAAATACACATTTTAATAAGTCACAGATTTCATGGTGAATATAATCTAAGAAGCCAACTTTAGACAGACTTCAAGCACAGATTTTATACATTTACTCCCTGATTCATGGACAGTTGCTCCTTGCATGCTGGAATGGACCAGTGCTATTAAACGAGTGCATAATCTGGCTATATGTCCTGACTACCTACAAGACAGTTTCTAAACCAGAGTGCCAGCCCTGCCTTTCCCTCTTTCTTTCCCTTATCCCCGTCCTTTCCTCTCCTCTCTCCTCTTTCCCCGCCTTTCTCTTTTCCTTTATCTCTGAAGGAGCTAATGGAGCTTTTTATGTACATATGACAGCTTGGAGATTCTAGATATTTATCAAAAGAAAAATATAAAATAATTCATTTTTTAAAAAAGTGTTCCTCCAGTAATTTAATTCTTATGCTGAGCTATGATCCTCCTGTATTTGATCCCAACCTCAGCTTCATATAGTGTGTGTGTGTGTGTGTCTGTGACTGTGTGTCTGTATGTCTGTGCCTGTGTTGTTTAATATCAGAAATGAGAACAACTCAAAACTTACTGAGCATGAGTAAAGACCCCAAAAGGCAGCTCAAGGCCCTTCTTTGCCTTTTCTGAGGTATCTGTGTCAGCCCTACAGAATCACCTTCAGACATCCTGTCTTTCTGGTACCTTCCCGTCACCCTGTGCAGCATGGTCTCTTGGTTTGAGTTCATGATCATTACCTCCAGCTAGCTATGCCAGCTGTGGCCCTGAGGTTCCGTCCATCGGCCCTGACACAACAGTGGCGCTGAGGTTTGGCATCTGCTCACTGTGTGTTTAGGAGACAAAGCTTTACATCTTTATCTCCTGTAAAGCATGGCGCATTCCTTGAGACAAGCCATCATCTTCCCATTTTGATATACTAATGTGCTAACCAATCTTTTTATTTTATAGAAGATTGCCTTGAGCCCTTGGGATACTGAAGAGGACAAAGAAGAATGGGAGAACAAAACAGAAAGAAATCCCACCATAGCCCACAAGGGCCCATGTTAACTCCACACCAACTTTCTGGTTAATGCTTAGACTCAGCATGAAAGCAGCCGCACAGTGGAGATAAGTAACAGGAGGTGCAGACCTGTAATTAATCATTAATTGAGCCTGTCACCTTTACATAGCCGCAAGCCAGCCCTTGAAGTTTAGCATCAAGGGTCATGCTAGTCTGAAAAGCCATCTTTATAAGAAGTTGGTCTTAATTCAGGCCTGGGTCACCTTCCAATCTGAAGATGGGAGAGGATTCGATCTAGACATAAATAGGCTAATCTCTGCTGGTGACATTTTTGGTAACAAGAATTCTTTCAATACCCAGGACTTCTGGAACAGGGGAGGCACTGGCCTCTGAGCAGCCTCTCAGAGAAAACTTCACATCCCCGACTGAATCCTCGGAGTCTCAAGGACTAGCTATCCTGGTTTGTAGAGCAGTGGGAAAAAAATAAGCAACAACAACAAACAACAAGGAGATGTTGCCACAAAAAAATGTAGACATCTGAGACCAATACTCAAGGAGTCCTCTGACCTCTCCCATGCATCCTATGGAATATCCATACCCACAATCACACAGAGGATTACAAACACATCCCACACTCTTTATACATACACATGCACATACAAATTAGCCATCAAAATAACACGATTCACAGAATATAATATTTACTGAATAATTGAAGCCATTTTCTAATACTCTAAAAACATTTATAGGAAAATGTAGTATAAGTTATACCTTTCCACTAATCATGAGCTTTTTTTCCCCCCGACAGTTAACTTGGATAAGGAAATATATAGTCAATTTAAGTAAATGGTAGAATTAACAAGCATTTCATTTCATTATTATAGTCAAATGCTCCCAAATACATTCATAGCAAGATGAAATTGCTTTAAAGTAATAAACTTTAAAAATAAGCAGAAATCAAATCATCGGCCCAAAAATACAAATGAGGATTCATTTCGATAACTGCAAAGAAATGACAATTTAAAACAGTCTGTCTAAATACATTTCTGGGAAAGAATGAATTCAACCAAATTTTAATTATTTGCTACACAGTGCTTTTTCCCAAATCCAGTTATTTTCTTCTACATTATGATAATATAAAGAACTTTTCCTTTAGCAAAATGAATAAAGGAATGCTGTCAAATTCTGTGAGCCTAAGTCAAAATAATATTTACTTGACAATTAACAAGTATAAGGACAGTTGGGCAGTGGATGGAGCATGGCTTTAATACCAGTACTTGGGAGACAGAGGCAGGTTAAATTTCTGTGAGTTCAAGACCAGCCTGGTCTGCAAAGAAACTTCCAGCACAGTCAGAGCTTCAAGATAGTGAAATCCTGTCTTGAAGAAACAAACAAACAAAAAGAGCAACCAAATCTAAGGACTGTAAGGATGAAACCGTTTCCAAAATATTCTACCTTGTTTATGCGGGGAGCAGATGAAGTCTGGAGTGAATGTATGTTGCTGACACAATCACAACCATGCCAAGGACCCCAGTGTCCCTGATACATGGGATGGCAAGGCCTTCCCCAGGTTAGGCTCAGAGGAACAGCAAAGCCTTACTCTGGTCCCTGGTTAAAGCACTGCCTGGGAAATATCAACCAAAACTTGTCCTCCAGCTTGACTGTAGCCTGAGACTGCTCCCCTACAAAGACTCCTATAGAGATGAGCTAGCCTGCCTCCTACCTCAACTCTGGCTTCTGGTTCATATTCATCGGAGTGCATGACCCACCCAACTCCTGCATCTATCATTTTCTTCATTCCCTGTCATCCCAGAAAGGTCCATTGCAAAGCCATGCAGGTCCCTGCAATTTTATTATCTTATTTTTATCCCATGTATATAGATGTTTTGCCTACATGTATGTCTGTGTACCACGTGTGTGCCCACTGCCCACAGAGGTCAGAAGAGGACATCAGCTTCCCCTGGAACTGGAGTTACAGACAGATGTGAACCACCATGTGGGTGCTAGGAATTAAACTTGGGTCCTCCAGAAAAGCAGTCAGTGCTCTTATCCACCACCATGGAGCCATTTCTCCAGTGCCCCCACCAAACAGTTCTAAGAAAATGAAACATTTACTTTTATCTTTAATTATATGTGTGTGGTCTGTGTGTGAGTATAAGTATGTGTAAGTGAAGGTGTCTCAGAGTCCAAAAGAAGGTATCAGATTCCCTGGACCTGGAGTTACAGGAGGCTGTAAGCTGCCTGATGTAGGTGTTAGGAACATAGCAGTGTGCATTCTTAAACACTGAACCATCTCTCCAGTTCTTCAGTGGCTTTTTCGAAGACTTGAAAAACCAATGTTTAAGATCATACTGACTTGGAATTTGAAAAAAGAGCTGGGACAAATCTCAGTGATAAGAGCCTATGCTCAGACACTTCGGAGGGAGGGAAGGAGAAAGGAAGGGAGGGAGGGAGGGAGGGAGGAGGGAGAGAGGGGGGAAACTAGTCAAAACTATAAAGAATAAGTAATTCTTACAACAAAATTTTTTGTTAAGATTTCCCAGACATGGGAGAGCATTCCTGTTAATAGAGGAGAATCAAGTTCAAGTAGGAAATGATCTTTCTAAAATAAAAGGATACGTGTACTGGAACAAAGTTCACAGCAGAAAACAGGCCTAGTCACAGTTTCCCACACCTAATGAAATTATGGTTTTATGGTAAAACGAAACAGAACAAAACAAAAACTGTGCTTGTTTTCCGATTCCCAGGGAATGCATTTCCACAGCTGGACACACACGTTTAGTGGCCTGAACCTTCTGTGGGAGGGCCTAGGTTGTCCAACCATCTCCATTTAGAATGTTTACATGTGGTAGCTGCTTGGTTGCTGTTTGTTT